TTGTATTTTTAGTAGAGACGGGGTTTCACCTTGTTGACCAGGATGGTCTCGATCTCTTGACCTCGTGATCCACCCGCCTCGGCCTCCCAAAGTGCTGGGATTACAGGCTTGAGCCACCGCGCCTGGCATGGAGCCCACATTCTTAACCACTCATTACACTGCCTCTTTGTGTTACTTAGCCTTTCTTTTTTTTTTTTGAGGCACGATCTCTGCTCATTGAAGCCTCAACCTCTCAGGCTCATGCGATCCTCCCACCTCAGCCTCCCAGGTAGATGGGACTACAGGTGCACGCCACCATGCCTGGCTAACTTTTTTTAAGTTTTCTATAGAGACAGGGTCTGCCTATGTTGCCCAGGCTAGTCTCAAACTCCTGAGCCCCTGAACTGCCTGCCCCAGCCTCCCAAAGTGCTGGGATTACAGGTGAGAGCTATTGCGCCTGGTTATATGTCAATTTTTTAAAAAGGCCGGGCATGCTGCGTCATGCCTGTAATGCAGGAACTGTGCGAGGCCAAGACAGGTGGATCGTTTGAGCCCAGGAGTTCAAGGCCAGCCTGGACAACATAGTGAAACACTGTCTCTAAGAAAAATAATAATAATAAATAAAATGAAAAAACAAAAACCCAAAGTGAGGTGCTCTGGAAGTCAGCCACCATGGGGTGCCTGAATTCCTGCCCTCCGCCTCACCAAAATACCATGGTGGGGGACAAGCTCTGCTGAGGTGCTGCAAGCCGCATTCGCACAATGATGCTGCCCCAGGAATTCCACAAGGGTGGGACCCACCACCATCACCGCTGTTTATCACTGTATCCCCCGTGCCTGGCATGGTACCTGATAAGTAGGAGATCCTCTGTGAAACTGAAGCCTTCATCTCAGTCTGTGAGGCACCATGTAATTTGGCTCCTGGAAAGCCTTCTTTTTTTTTTTTTTTTTTTTTTTGAGACAGGGTCTCTCTCTGTTGCCCCAGGCTGGAGTGCAGTGGCATCACTGATAGACGACAGACAAATTCCTAGGCAGGCAGGGATAGGTCCCTGGTAAAACCTGACCTTCAAGCCAAAGACAGCCTGAAAGCCTGAAAACCAAACTGTCAGTTCAGGATAGTGTCCATGGCCGGAGTGAGAACTTCTATTCCTGTCTTACCCACTCTCTCTCAATTGGTTCTTTCTGAATGATATCTTTTAACCAACTGAATGGTCCTTTTTCCAAGACCACTCATGGACCAGTCGTCAGGCACTCCCCCATTCTAAGCCCATAAAAACGCCAGACTCAGCCTCACAGAGGGCTACTCCCACTTTCAGGGTCCCCTCTTGCAGTGGAGAGCTTTCCTTCTATCTTTCAATAAAATTCTTCTTTGCCTTCCTCACTCTATGGTACCTGCGCACCTCATTCCTCTTGGTTGCAAGACAAGAACCTGGAACTCGCCAAGTTGTGGGTGACGGGAATAAAAAAGCTATAACATGCTCCTACTCACTAAGCTATACGAGTGAAAAGCTAAGACAGTGCTGGGGGATCAGACCTCAGAACTCCCCAAGCCAGAGCTGTAACACCCCTTGGAGCTCCACGATGCTGGCATCTCCCAAGTTTTTGGGTGCCACCCTGTTCCTCTCATCTAGATGCTGGCGCCCAACACAGAAGCCACTGGTGGCACACCCAGTCCGGCCAAGGGCTGAGTATGGAACCACAGCAGGTGTGGGATCCAAGTGGGCACGAGCCGAGTGCAGCCTGCTGGGCCTAGTGAGCCTAGAAGGCACAAGCAAGGCCCCAACAGAGGTGACGGCAACCGCAGAGATTTCCGGCTGACGAAGTGGCACTGAAGGAATTCTATATGATCACAGCTAACTCCAGCCTCCACCTCAACTTTCCCGGGCTAAGGTGATGCTACTACCTCAGCCTCCCAAGTAGCTAGGACTACAGGGGTATACCACTACCCCCAGCTAATTTTTCTGTAGAGACGAGATCTCACTATGTGGCCCAGGTTGGTCTTGAACTCCTGGGTCCAAGTGATCCTCTCTCCTCAGCCTCCCAAAGTGCTCGGATTCCAGGGATGAACCCCTGTGGCCAGTGTGGCAAGCTTTCTATCATCACATCCCTGGTCATTCTGCTTTGTTCACTATGCTTAGACCAAGCTGGTCTCTGGTTCTCCTCAAATACATATAGAATTTCCTGCTGTGGGGGCCTCTGCATCGGCTCTTCCCTTTGCTTTGAACATTCTTCCCACAGGTCACCATGGGGCTGGCTCCTCATTTCATGCAGGTCCCTGCTCCAGCATCGCCTCCTAGGAGAAGACCACCCTATCTACAAGGGTACCCCTTGCCCCAGTTCCTTGGCCTGTTATTCTTTTTTCCATACAGGTTATCATCATTTAATATCATATGAAGGATGAATTAGGAGACAGGAGCAATGGTCCATGACTGTGATGCCAGCACTTCGGGAGGCCAAGGTAGGGGAATTTCTTGAGTCCAGGAGTTCAACAGCAGCCTGGGCAACACAGTGAGACCCTGCCTCTACAAAAACATAAATTAATAAAATTAGCCAGGTGTGGTGGCACACAGCTATAGTCTCAGCTACCAAGAAGGCTAAGGCAAGAGGATCCCTTGAGCTCAGGAATTTGAGATTACAGTGAGCTGTGTTTGAACCACTGCTCTCGTGATCTCAGCTCACTGCAACCTCTGCCTCCTGGGTTCAAGCTATTCTCGTGTTTCAGCCTCCCAAGTAGTTGGGACTACAGGCACATGATACCATGCCAGCTAATTTTTGTATTTTTAGTAGAGATGGGGTTTTGCCATGTTGGTCAGGCTGGTTTCAAACTCCTGGCCTCAGGCGATCCACACGTATTGCCCTCCCAAAGTGCTAGGATTACAGGCATGAGCCACTGCACCTGGCCAAGTGCAGGGTCTTTGTTAAATATCTCTAGCACCTGGAATGGTGCCTGGATTACAGTAACTGGTCTTGTATAGAATCCTTTATTCAGCAAACCTAGACTGAACACCTGCTAAAGCCTTCTACAATAAAAGATAGATATGAAAGCATTTTCTACTCTTTAGGAACGCAGAGTCTAGGGAATAATTTACCTGAGATTAGAACACACATCTCAAAAACCACATCGGGCTTCTGTTTTTTTTTTTTTCAATCTCTAATCTAGCAGAGTCTTGATATTTTTCCTTGGGGATCTCCCCTTTCCTAGTCATACCTGTCCATATAGGTAGACAGCTGTCGACCCAGGAAAAAGCACACTCCTCTTTGTTCTCCCTGTCCTCAGGATTAAACTTCCCACAAGATCAACTTCAGAAGCTGTACATGTTTTGTGTGGCTTATACAATGTGGTTAAAAAAAAACATCTGGGCCCAGATTTAATAATGGTAAGTATTCAGCCAGAAAAACTGGATTTCTGGCTCCTCTTGGAACTCAGAAGATTGGACAAGCTGGGCCAGCATTCCCGCATGGGCACAAGGAGCCAGAGCTCAGAGGCGCTCCCTCCTCTGGATGAGGTGTGGTTTCCTAGCTCGGCACAGGCCCAGCTCCTCCAGTTCCCACTTGGCCTGTGTTTCCTGCCTGGCCCCTGAAGGGAATGGACTTGAGATTCTGAGGTGAAAACAAGAATCTCAAAACAGCCTTGGCAGTAGCTGACGCCTATAATCTCAGCTCTTTGGGAGACTGAGGGCTGGAGGACTGCTTGAGACCAGCAGTTTGAGAACAGCTTGGGCAACATAGTGAGACCTCATCTCTACAAAAAAAATTAAAAACTAAAAATTAGCCACGTGTGCTGGTGCATGCCTATAGTCCCAGCTACTCGGGAGCCTAAGGTGGGAGGATCACTTAAGCCTAGGTCAAGGCTACACTGAGCTATGATTGTGCCATGGAACTCTAGCCTGGGTAACAGAATGAGACCCTGACTCTAAAAAATTAAAAAATAAAGAACCAGTCGTGGAGCTGTGTTTTGGAGAGCTTCAGCATTTTTTCGGGTGGCATCTGCCACCCCAGGCAGCACAAATGCAGCCATTTCTCCAGGAACTCCTCATTTCCCACCGTGGGTTCCATAAGAAGATCCACAGTCTCCTTTTCCTGCTTCCTGTTCCTTCCCTGCAGAAAAATCCTTTCTCTGCCAGGCTCACCTGCCCACTCCAGCATGTCCTCAATATTTTCCGCTGCCCCAGGCACAAGGCGAGTCTGATCTGTGTCCTCCAGCCTCAGGATGAAGCTCCCCTGGTACTTCTTGGCAAAGATGTAGTTGTACAGGGCAGTGCGGAGGCCACCCAGGTGCAAGAAGCCTAGAGAAGAGATAGCTCAGATAAGACAGGGAAGATGAGCTAAAAGGCCTCATCGAGGGGCAAGTAAGCACTGCTGTGACAGAACGCTGCAATGTGAAAGACCAGCAGGATGCAGTGGCTCATGCCTGTTTCCCTACCACTTTGGGAGGCCAAGGCGGCAGGATCACTTGAACCCAGGAGATTTTCGTACTTTTTTAAGACAGAGTCTCACTCTGTTGCCCAAGCTGGAGTACAGCGGCACTGCAACCTCTGCCTCTTGGGTTCAAGCAATTCTCATGCCTAGCCTCCTGAGCAGCTGGGACTACAGGTGCGTGCCACCCCACCCAGCTAATGTTTGTATTTTTGGTAGAGACGGGCGTTGGCCACGTTGGCCAGGCTGGTCTTGAACTCCTGGCCTCAAGTGATCCCCTAGCCTCAGCCTCCCAAAGTGCTGGGATTACAGGCATGAGCCACCACACCTGGCCAATTTTTTTGTATTTTCAGTAGAGAGAGGATTTTGCCATGTTGGTCAGGCTGGTCTTGAACTCCTGACCTCAACTGATCCATCTGCCTTGGCTTCCCAAAGTGCTGAGATTACAAGCGTGAGCCGCTGCACCTGAGTTTGTGATCAGCCAGGGCAACGTGGCGAGACCTTGTCTCTGCAAAAAATATAAAAATTTAGCTGGGCATGGTGGCACTTGCCTGTGGTCTTAGCTACTGAGGTGGGAGGATCACCTGAGCCTGGGGAACTAAGGCTACAGTGAGCCATGATCACACCTCTGCACTCCAGGCTGGGCAGCAAAGTGAGACTGTCTAAAGAAAAAAAAAATTTTTTTTTAATTTTTTCAAAGATTAAGAACTAGCTACCCCTATGCTCTCTCTCTAGACACATTTAATCCCTCATCCTGAAAGTGGAAGACCACCCAGGATTTGGAGCATGTCATTTTATTAAAAGGCTCCAATTCTCTCCAACAGCATCCACCACTCTATTTTGATGTTTGTCTCAAGGCCAAGCAAGTTTCATCTGAAGAAGCAGCAGGGGGTTATTCATTGAAGCCATATCATGTACATTTAACTTACAGAAAGTCAATGATGTTCGCTGGGAAAAAAATTAATTACAAAGAAAGTACAAATTTAAAATACTGTACAATCACATTGTGGGCCAGGTACAGTGACTCACATATGTAATCCCAGCACTTTCGGAGCAGAGGCAGGATACTTGAGTCTGTAAGTTTGAGACCAGCTAGGGCAACATAGTGAGATCCTGTCTCTATTAAGAAATAAATCACAGGCCGGGCTGGTGGCTCACGCCTGTAATCTCAGCACTTTGGGAGGCCGAGGTGGGTGGATCACGAGGCAGGAGTTCGAGACCAGCCTGGCCAAGATGGTGAAACCCCATCTCTACTAAAAATACAAACATTAGCTGGGCACAGTGGCAGGCCCCTGTAATCCCAGCTACTTGGTAGGCTGAGGCAGGAGAATCGATTGAACCCAGGAGGCAGAGGTTGCAGTGAGCTGAGATCACACCACCGCACTCCAGCCTAGGCGACAGGGTGAGACTCCGTCTCAAAAAAACAAAATGGAGGAAAAAAAAAAAAAAAAAGAAAGAAATCATATATTTTTACTTTTTTTAAAAGAAATTTTATTTTTAAAATTTGAGATGGGGGTCTCACTGTTGCCCAGGCTGAGGCTGGAGTGCAATGGTGCAGTCACAGCTCACTGCAGCCCCAATCTCCCAGGCTCAATCAGTCCTCCCACATCAGCCTCCCAAGTAGCTGGAACTACAAGTGTACACCACCACACCGGGGTAATATTTGTATTTTCTTTTTGTAGCAGCAAGATCTCACTATGTGGCCTGGGCTGGTCTCGAACTCCACTCCTGGGCTCAAGTAATCCTTCTACCTCAGCCTCCTAAAGTCCTGGGATTACCGACATGAGCCACCATGACTTGCCAAGATTTTCACCTTAAATGCTGGCTTTAAACACTAACCAAAAGTAGCGTTTGAGTCCACCATCTTTCTCTTCATCAGTTTAAACTCCTAAGATTTTACTTTTTCATCATTCCTGTCTAAAAACTGACAGTTAACAGTTTTTCCAGGGCAGTCACTACCTCTTACCCTACCTTCTTTGGACCAGCCCATAACCCTAAGTTACAATGAGCTCATCTATATTTATAGGTACAAGAGGCAGCACAAGAGAGGAAACACTCTTCTGGAGCCAGGCTGACCCTGCTTCAACACTGATGTGTATAACCTTCAGGCAATTACTGCAAGGCCACCAGAAAACCAGTGAGGTTCAGTGGCACTGGATCCCAAGAGTCCCTAAGACAGAAGAGGAACCCAGCTGCTAAAAACAAGGCCTCTTGGCTGGGCGCGGGGGCTCAAGCCTGTGTAATCCTAGCACTTTGGGAGGCCGAGGCAGGCGGATCACTAGGTCAGGAGTTCAAGGCCATCCTGGCCAAAGTGGTGAAAACCCCATCTCTAGTAAAAATACAAAAATTAGCTGTGCATGGTGGCAGGTGCCTGTAATCCCAGCTACTCAGGAGGCTGAGGCTAAGGCGAGAAAATCGCTTGAACCAGGACCCAGAAGGCAGAGGTTGAAGTGAGCAGAGATGGCACCACTGCATTCCAGCCTAGGATACAGAGCAAGACTCTATCTCAAAAAAAAAAAAAAAGGCCTCTTACATCAAGTACACTGGGATTCAAATTGTGCATCCACCATTTATTAGTTGCTACCCCTTGGGAAGGAACTCTGCTTAACTTTTATGAGCTTCTACTTTCTCATCTGTCAGAGGGATTAAGAGCAAAAAACTTGGAATCTTCCTTATTACAGGGTTGCTCCGAGATCTAAATGCTGACCAAAGTAAACCCGCAATTAATTTCAGCTACTGTAATGATCTGTGCCTGACAATTCTTTTATATGTTTATAATCAAAAGCCTTTCCCATATGGGCTTTTCCTGCAAACGAGTAAGGAAATGAAAATTATAATCATCATAACAGAGGATGGTAAGTGCTTTCTGTGTGTATTAGACCTTGCTAAGTGGTTCAGCTGCATGAGCTTAACCCCATGAGACAGATACTATTATTGGCCCTGTTTTGATGAATGGTAAAACTGAGGCTCAGATTCATTAAATAATTTGCATATCTAGGCCACCATGCATGGTGGCTTACTTACACTTGTAATCTCAGCACTTTTGGGGGCCGAGGCAGGTGGATCACTTTAACTCAGGAGTGTGAGACAAGCCTGGGCAACATGGCAAAACCCCATCTCTACAATAAAGTACAAAAATTAGCTGGGCATAGTCACACGTCTGTAGTCCTAGCTACTTGGGAGGCTGAAGTGGGAGGTTCACTTGACAGAGCCAGAAACCTTCTCAAAATAATAATCATAATAATACTGATAGTAATAATAATTTGAACATCTAGTAAGTTATACATTTAACAAGTGGCGAAGACAGAAATTTGGATCCAGGCAATTCCAGGCCTTGGCATTCTACGGCTTTTCAAAGCAAAGCGTACAATCCAGTGCTGGTTTGAAAACAGTTGTCAGTTCACAATCAAGTACAGAAACTCACAGTAAAAGTTTAGAAACTTTTATTGTTTTTTTGCGATGGAGTCTCACTCTGTTGCCCAGGCTGGACTGCAGTGGCACTATCTTGGCTTACTGCAACCTCTGCCTCCTGGGTTCAAGAGATTCTCGGGTGTCAGCCTCCTGAGTAGCTGGGATTACAGGCCTGTGCCACATGCCTAGCTAAATTTTGTGTTTAGTAGAGATGGGGTTTCGTCATGTTGGCCAGGCTGTAGAAACTTACATAGCAATCTGACAGAATGATTTTTACCTCTGCTAAACCAAATAAGGAGAGATCGGTTTGTATTTTGAATGTTTTCAAAATTTTATTTTTCTAGTCATTAATTTATATTAATTTTATGCAAATATTGATACATAATTGATTGGAAATTAAAAACCAGTACTTCTACCACGGATGGTTTGAAAAGCACTGCTCTGGCCAGGTGCGGTGGCTCACTCCTGTAATCCCAGCACTTTGGAAGGCCAAGATGGGTGAATCACAAGGCCAGGAGATCGAGACCATCCTGGCCAACATGGTAAAACCCCGTCTCTACTAAAAATACAAAAATTAGCTGGGCATGGTGACACGCACCTGTAGTCCCAGCTACTCAGCAGGCTGAGGCAGGAGAATCCCTTGAACCTGGGAGGCGGAGGTTACAGTGAGCCAAGATCGCACCACTGCACTCCAGCCTGGGGACAGAGTGGGACTCTGTCTCAAAAAAAAAAAAAAAAGCACTGCTCTGTACTACACTGCCTGCCAGAAAGATCCTGTCACATACAGCTGGGATCTTGCCACAAAGATCCTTGTATGTTTACCCTGGGATTTGGGATGAGAGGAATACCCAGTGTAGAAAAGGCAGAAGATAGCCTTACTGGTGGGAAGCCCCCGACAAGACCTCCAACATAATATACAACAGGCCTCTGTCACCCTCTAGCTTGCTAAGTTCCCAATAACAATAGCACAGTGCCTTGGTACCTGCGATTTCCTCTACCCAGAAGGTTCCTTCTTTGAGATGGAATTTCACTCTTGTTGCCCAGGCTAGAGAGCAATGGTGCGATCTCAGCTCACTACAACCTCCACCTCCCAGGTTCAAGCAATTCTCTGCTTCAGCCTTCCAAGTATCTGGGATTACAAGTGTGTGCCATCATGCCCGGCGAATTTTGCATTTTTAGTAGAGACGGGGTTTCATCATGTTAGTCGGACTGGTCTCAAATGATCCACCCGCCTCGACCTCCCAAAGTGCTGGGATTGCAGGCGTGAGCTACCGCGCCCGGCCTCCTGAAGGTTCCTTCTTATAGGCTTCACAAAGCTGGCTCCTTCTTGTCATTTGGATCTCAGCTCAAATGTTACCTGCTCAGTAAGGCCTTCTGGAGCATCCTTCCTAAACTCGTCTCCTATCCTGCTTCATTTCCCGCATGGCACATGTGACTCTAAAATTATTTTTATAGGTGTCCGCGGCAGCCACTGGGCTGCAGGCTTCTTGACAGCAGGGCCCCTACCTTTCTCAATGATCACTGTATCCCAGCGTCTACAACACCTGGCACACAGTTTGTCGTCAATACACATGTATGGAATGCATGAAAAAAAGATGGAAAGAGATGGGATAGCACAAAAAACACAAAGAAATCCCTGGCAATTTAAATTATTTCCGATCCTGCACCTCAGTTTCTGCCTCTGTAGAATGGGCTCCCGCTGCCTTAACCCTTCTCCGCCCGCCCGCTCCGACACCACCGGAAAGGATTCATTCAGGAACTTTCGGTGGGCGGAGACGGGACAGGGGGCCGTGGCCTGCGGCGTCACGTCCGCCAAGGTTACCTGTGGGGCTGGGAGCGAACCGCACTCGCACCGCAACCCCGGGATCAGTGCCCAAGCTAGCCTCACGCCGTCCCACGGGGCGGCCTGAGGCCGCCAAGGGCCTGCCGCGTTGCAGCAGTCTCTTCAGGAGCGCCGCCATGTGGGGTGGAATCGCACACGTGGGCTTCTCCCTGCGTCACTTCCGTGGACTCCTTCCAGCCAATCGGCCTCCGCCACAGCCAGCGCAGCCCTGCCCCTTAAAGTCACAGGCCTCCTAGCGCGAAAGCCCACGCCCCCCGAACGGCTGCGGCCGCCCTCGGCCTCCAGGGGGCAGAGCCCAGTGAAAGGGCGATTTCCCGGACCCGCCCCCTTCGGCTTGGGAAAGCTAAAGCGTGGCAGGGGCCTGGCCGGGGAAGCGGAGGAGGCGGGTCTCCATAGAAACCTCCACCTGTTTCCGGCCGGGAGGCGAGCGATTAGGGGCTGCTGCGGGGGCCAATCTCAGCCAGCTCGCCTCTTCCCAGTGGCCTCTGCGGGAGCGGTGGTTGTTGTACACAATCATCATGGCGGCGGCCGGGGCCCCGGATGGTGAGTGCGGCGGGGGTGGCGGGTGGCGGGCGCCGGGCCCGGGCCGAGGTTGCCAGCGCTCCTCGGGGGGATGCGGCTCGGCCCGAGAGGGAGAAGCGCGGCTCGGGAGCGGAGGTCCCGTGGCGTCCGGGCAGCGTCCGTTCCCAGGCCCAGCCCGCGGCGAGCGCCCACCCCTAACCCCCTTGCAGGCATGGAAGAACCTGGCATGGACACGGAGGCCGAGACCGTGGCGACCGAGGCGCCCGCGCGGCCCCTCAACTGCGCGGAGGCTGAAGCCGCGGTGGGGATGGCGGCCGAGGACTCCGGCGCCGCACGAGACAGCCTGCAGCCGGCCCCGGCCCAGCCCCCTGGGGACCCTGCGGCCCAGGCCTCCGTCAGCAACGGCGAAGACGCAGGCGGCGGCGCGGGCAAGGAGCTGGTGGACCTGAAGATCATCTGGAACAAGACCAAGCATGACGTGAAGGTCCCCTTGGACAGCACAGGCTCCGAGCTGAAACAGAAGATCCACTCGATTACAGGTAATTTCTGCGGTGCTGACAGCCAGTCTTCCCCACCCCGCCTCCTGACGGCCCTTGCACCGTGCTAGGCACTTGGTGGCTTTCTTTGCATCAGGTACTCCCATCCTCACAACAGTCTTAATGAAAGGCACTTGGATGCCCATTACTCAGCTGGGGAAAAAGACTCAAGTTTATAGAGCTAGTAAGTTGTAGAGCTGGGATTCAAGCCCAAGTCTGACATTTAGGCCTTAGTTTCTCACTAACGTTTTTCTAACATCTCTAATTTAAAAATCACCTAAGGCACTTGTTTTACAGCTTCCCGGCCCTTTCTCAGGAGATTCTGATTCAGTGGGTCTGTGATGTAGCCAGGAATTTATTTTTAGCAAATATCTTAGGTAATTCTCCTAAGTGAAGTTTAGGAAATACTGCTATTGACTTTGATGCTGGTTCTTCAAAGTTGATACTGTTCTTAATTTTACCTTGTTTATAGTGCTTTGACGTCTGATTTTTTTTTTTTTTTTTTTTTTGAGACTGAGTCTCACTCTGTTGCCCAAGCTGGAGTGCACTGACACGATCTCAGCTCACTTCAACCTCCGCCTCCCAGGTTCAAGCGATTCCCCTGCCTCAGCCTCCCAAGTAGCTGTTATTACAGGCACCTGCCACCCTGCCTGGCTAGTCTTTTTTTTTTTTTTTTTGGTGATTTTTTTTTTTTTTTTAAATATGGACGGGAGTTTCACCATGTTGGCCAGGCTGGTCTTGAACTCCTGACCTCAGGTGATCCGCCCACATCTGCCCCCCAAAGAGCTAGGATTACAGGCATGAGCCACCACTCCTGGCATTGAAATTTATTGTTTTAAGGCTTCCTACATGTAGCCTTGTAAGCTCCATTAAGAACAGGAGTTTTATCCCTATTGGCTTCTGTAGCTCTGATGTCTGTGGATTCTCAATATTTGAATGTTATGATTGAGGAACAACTTGGAAAGAATGAGAGCTAATATTTATTGAACAGTTACTGAATAATAGGCACCATACTAAATGCCCTGCATTTGTCCTGTGTCTTAATCCTTAAAACAAGTCTATACAGAAGGACTTATTCTCATAAATCTTACCGAGTTCTAGAAACTGAGTTTCAGAGGTAGTAAATCGTCCAAGTTCACAAAGCTAATAGGTGGTGGAGTCAGTATTCACTTTCTAGTCTGTTACCAAAGAGCTGTGTAGGATCCATACATTTTTTTCCTTCTTTCCTTTCACTATCTGCCTTCTACCTTTTCCCAAGGTCTCCCGCCTGCCATGCAGAAAGTCATGTATAAGGGACTCGTCCCCGAGGATAAGACATTGAGAGAAATAAAAGTGACCAGTGGGGCCAAGATCATGGTGGTTGGCTCCACCATCAATGATGTTTTAGCAGTAAACACACCCAAAGATGCTGTGCAGCAGGATGCAAAGGCCGAAGAGAACAAGAAGGAGCCTCTCTGCAGGCAGAAAGTGAGTCCATCTTGTGCTTCTTGGTCCTGAGAAATTTGAGGCTTTGTCCTCTCGAGCCTTGGCTGGTTATAGTCTCCCTAGAATAAGCTCCTTTTTGGACAGGGCCCATGATGGAAATTTATGGCAGCAGTTGGGTGCCGCAGAGTGGAGGTGACAACTACCTGAGATTTGCAACTTTGTCTCATCTGGCGGGTCAGTGTGTCTCAAGTCTACCTACTTTAGGATAAGACCTTGGTAAAGGGAGGCTTCAGATTGGTGTTAAAAGGAATCAGACATGGGTTTCTCTCTCCCTTTCAGTGCTAGAGAAAAAACCAGTACTAGAAGCCAGCCCTCGTTTTGTACAGGTGCTTACATGTGGCTTTTTGGTTTGTGGCTTTCCCCAAGTCCACAGGCCTGGCTAGGCACGGGAATCAACAACTGAAGGTTCCTCTAAAACTGATCGTTTCAGGAAGCTGAATGACGCCGAGTAAGAAGACAACTACACTTAGTTTTTTTTTTTGTCCTGATCTGTGAAATAGGGGCTTGATTTTTCACATTCTCTGTTCTTTTGTATCAAGAGAGCCTGCCTTGTCTTATGCTCATCATAGCCGTTAATCTTTTGTGTAACGAGGAAAAATGAGATTTTGCTATACAAGGAACAGGTTGTAAGAATCATCATTTACTGTCTTTTTACCTGGCAAATCCCACTGATTGCTGTGGAGCCTCCTGATCATTCCTATTGTTCCAAGGAAAACAGGTGTTCTCAAATGTGTCTGGAGTAGAGTAGATCAGCTTGAATCAACATTAGTTTTATTGACCGTAGGCACTAAGATGTATGACCAACAATAAGAGGAGGGCACAGTTTGTGTTACAGATTGATAATCCCCCATGTATGCTTCCAAAACCCCAAAGGAGTCTAAAACTAAAAATGTTTTTATTTAAAACAAAACAAAATTTTATTTTCGAGATGGAGTTTTTCATTCTTGTTGCCCAGGCTGGAGTGCAGTGGCACCATCTTGGCTCACCACAACCTCTGCCTCCCAAGTTCAAGTAATTCTTCTGCCTCAGCCTCCCAAGTAGCTGGGATTACAGGCATGCCCAACTATGCCCAGCTAATTTTGTATTTTTAGTAAAGGCGGGGCTTCACCATGTTGGTCAGACGGGTCTCTAACTCCTAACCTTGGGTGATCCACCCCCCTCAGCCTCCCAAAGTGCTGGGATTACAGGCGTGAGGCACCGTGCTTGGCCATGTTTTTATAAATTTAACAGACCCCCCAAAACCTGACCAGAATTAGTGTGAATTTTTCTCTTTGGTGATAAGGTCCTGCCCTGGACCCCACAGAGAAGATTGTGTTATAGATTTTAAAACAATATTATCTTTGTAAAACTCTTAAAGTTTAAAACTCTAGGGTTTGAGATAAGGGGTTGTAGAACTGTGTTATCTAAAAGGTGTTGATTTGGAGACTTCACCCCCACATACAGGTTGTTATGTCTTAAAACCGATTGAGTTCATTCTCACATTCCTGTAGTCCTCTCCCACGTGTCAGGAGTGGTCCCACTGGTCACACCCTTAGAGTGTAGCATGCCTCCTAAATACAGGTTTTGAGTTACTAATGGTAGCTTAACAGGCCTAGAACTGTTCTCCACAATACAGGAAATCTTGTTCAAAAGGTACTTGAAAGGTGTGACTCGAATTATACTTCCAGCCCATGCTGCTCTGTTTCATTGAGGCCAATTATGAGGCATCACATGACCTAATGAGGCGGATATAGTCCCTTGGCTTTTTATCACCTTGTTAAGGGGTCTGGGGCTGATGTCTGGAGTGACTGTTTGCTAGCAGTCTGGCAATGCTGAGTTTATTCCTCCGAGGGATTCTGCCATGCCATTGAGGATTTGGGCTGGCTTATGGCTACCTGGTGCTTACATTTGATTAAATTTTTACCTTCTATCCATTCATTGCCCCATAGTACCAGCTTTACTAAGCAGTGGCTGTGCCTATAAGGCCACAGATGGAGAAGAAAGAAGACTCAGGCATTTGGGCCTGGCAGGAGAGCTGTTTAAGGGGCCCTGAACTTGGAATCCTTAAAGAGCTGCCTCAGAGTTCTTGGGGCAGGCGGGAGGGGAGGAGTTTAGAGGCTTCTTAATGTCAGGTTATAGAGTAATTTGCATTTCTGACTGAAGGGTGGCTCCTACAGGTTCCTGTTTAGCTGGAGTTAAGGGTAGGGCAGTGGGGAAAATGTCTGCCATGGGCTGGGTTTCCATTTGTTGAAGAGCTGCTCCTTCTAGGCAGTTAGACCGATCATCAACATGTTGTAGTGTTCTCTGGGAGTTTAAGTTGAAACAGTTGGGTGCCTTTTTTTGGGGGGGGGGCCTACTAGAGTAACACCCTTTGTGGCTCTCTTTAGCTTGATGGTTTAATTATTTCAGGAGTGAATTTTTTTTTGAGGGGGAAGGGCAATCTGGAAATCCCATTTATTCTAGAACTTTGATATCTAATATGGTAGGTAGCTACATGTGGCTGGTTAAAACTGAAATGAAATTAAGAATTCAGTTCCTTACTCATTCGAGCCGCGTTTCAAGTGCATAATAGTCACAATAGTAGATAGTGGCTCGCACAGGTACAGAACATGTTCCTCTCCC